GCATAAAAACGAGCTCTATTATGCACCATGAAAAGGATCACCATATTCTCTACCCGCTACAGCATGATTTCAGAGACAAACGCTCCAGCGAGACACGATTACTCGGCTTCATCAAAGGACCTGTAAACAACTGTTACATGCACGATGGTTTCCAAACGGACATCTCAGTAATGGATTTTGGTAAAGCATTCGACACTGACCACTCGGTCTGCCACCGACTCCCCATTAGAAAGCTGATGAGATGTGGTATATACATGGAAAGAACATCATACTTTTGCAAGAGTAATTGTAAAATCTTCCAAGTAGTAAGCAATGATTGAATAGTTTCGTATTTGTTTCAGCGGTCCCAAAAGGTTTCGGCTGTGGTCTTTTTGTTTTCATCATGACTTCTTGTTGTTTTGCAAATCCTGTTTATATTTATTTGAGCGGTTCCAAAAGGTTTCAGCTCTGGTCATGAGTGTAATTGGCATCTTCGTTTTCCTCATGACTTATTGTTCTTTTGCATATGACATGTTTTTCAAGGGTTAAATTTTTGCTGCCGCTGATTCATTTTTATGTTTTATTATTTTGACTTTTGTTGTTTCTTTGCGGCCTCACGAGTTGTATTTTCTATCATGTCTTTCCATCCAATTTACATATCAGCGCTACCTGTTGTTTTATGCACGTATGTGTTTGTCTTGGCGCTTTTTTTTTTCAATCGCTATGTGTCTCTGTTTTCTCTCCCCCTCGCTTTTTCCTAACCATTTCCTTCCCGCTCTGGGTTGGCAAATTTATAATGGACTCGTATTCCCTCTCGGATTACTGGGGCATAAAACTGCTCTCCCTTGAGCCGCTCTTACTTCCGTTGACGGTTTTCTTTCTCCCTTTTGCAGCACTTCCCTCCTCATGCGTGTTAGGTTTTTGTTCCACCTACGTCCAATCCTCAGTGTGTGTTTGTGGGGGGAGGGGGCGCATACCAAGCCACAGAGTCTTACCCCATGGGTTAATTATCTTGGTACTCCTCTTTGCGCGGCCTAAGGGTTAGCGCCTGATAACACTCACATTTTCGGCGACTTCCTGCGTTCAGTCTTATGGTTTTGCTTTAGCAAACGTTTCACTCGCTGGCCTTTTTTAGACCTGGAGTGTTCTGTAGCAGGTAATCTCCCCACCCCTCCGCATGCTAGTGGCTTGGATTTTCTCAAACAAGCAAATATCGACAAGGGATACACGTTAGACAGTTTTAGAAATGGTTACGCGTTGACCCTCGACTTTGTCAGGCTCTTTCCTTGCGGATAACATGTCCCACGTTCGATGGAGAAACTCTGCATCACTATCCTATTATATAAAGCTGGCTGATGTCTTGCGGGCATAGCCCCGGCTGACACTCTTGCAACGGTTGCTCTGCCAGTGTCAAATCTTCGAAGGTATATAGCAATTTTAATCAATTAAGGATTTCGCTCTGGCTTTTCCCCCGCCATTCCACCCTTTAAACGCCCGGCTGCTTCGATTTCGTAATAAAAGTTAAAAGTATATTATGTTTCTTCTTTCAGTTTGGGGCTTGAACTTCAGTTTCGGGTTTTCTTCTTCTTTGGATTTCTTTGTTTCTGAGGTTTGGGTGTGCCTACTTTCCTTTGCTATGCCTCGGTGTATTTTGCTCGCTTTATTTATCGGCGTTCGCAGCTGCAGATTGCCCATAACTCAATATGCGCAGAGATACGACCGGTGAGAATAGATTTCTATTTCTCATGGTTATCATGGCTAGCGGTATTGCTCGTGGGCGTGCGCTCACGACGGCGACGACTAGGGATTTCCACGTACAATTTGCTCGGGATTTTCCAAAAAGTCGCCCGCGATTTCTCAAAACGTTGCTCATTAAAAGTCAAAGTTACTTTATATAACGAAAGTTGCTTAAAAGTTACTCTAAAAAAATTGTTGCTCTTCTCCTTTATTTGGTCTGATGCAAAAGTACAACAAAAATGAAATTTCTAAGCCTTTTTTGTGCAATTTTGCGGCGTAACAAGCGTTGCTAAATAACTTTGTTCTTAACTAAAACCAAACGAGAAACTATCAGTATAAGATCGTGGTCCACGGCTTCATTCGTTGTTATTTTCAACATTGTCTAGGGGACAGGACTTTCAGGACTTTCACTACACAAAGATCTAGAAACACAGCTTTTGCTTCGAGTCGCCCACATCAGCACCATGTTTACAACTCACGAGGTATCATCCTGGGTTCACTTGCAACGAAGGTCGCCCTACCGTAAAAGCCATACAATTAGACCACCCGAGTTAGAGCACATGGTCTTCGAACACGAACGACGAACTCGCGCCAATGCAACATTCTGGGATACAAGAATGAAATAGATCGGACAAAAAAATAAAGGACCATTTTCTTGAGGATAAAGCGTTCAGCTTTGTTCTAATATACATTTTTTTTTCCACAGTGGCTATTAACATGGCTAAAGAAATCATTAAGCGTTTCAGCCACTTCATTCTGGTCTCTGATAATTCTGTCATTTTCTTTGAGAACAATACCGCTGTTATTGTAGTCTATGAATCACGGTACACTAAAACTTTCTTCCATCTGCATGTTTTTCTTTGCAGAGTTTCTGGAAGTGTTTTAAACATCTCGAGATGTTTAATTTCTTTTCCTCAGGGAATGTGCTCCGTCGGCGTCTTTCCATATAACCCTGTACGATGAAGAATTTCGTTATGTAGGTATTCATCTTATTAATTCAGGCTTCATATGTACTAAATGCGGAACGTCCATACCCAAACCTCACTACAAGTGCAGCGACTGCAGGTTTTGCATGCCTGGTACCTATAGCAACCGTTCCTCTTCTTGTTGGAAATGTCCTGCAGGTAACTATGAAGAGTTTTCTGATATATTAATTGCGTTCTTTGTCTGAAAATGGCGTCAAAAACACAAAATTTAATATGGGAATAGCCTTATGCATGATGACGTCATACTACCTAATTTCAGCCCCAAGCACGACTTTGAGGGAACAAGTACAGTTTCTTTAAGCCGCAAAGATAAAAGCATAACTCGGTAAAATAAGCATGAAGGAGTCGGAACATTGAAAAAAACCATGTGAACCATGAATTATCTTTGTTGAGACAATAAAAATATTACATCATCATCATCATAATGATAATTAATTGTAATGATCAATTTTATTCCTTAAATCTCAGTAACTTTTTATTTACATAATTTATCTCTTCATATATTCTACTTACATTTCATAAGTTATTTTTCACTGCAATATTAAATGAATTTCTATAACTTCCTTGAAAAGATTATTTCAAATTTCTGATAAAATAAATTTCTGTACAATGATAAATAATAATACTAAAATACTAAAATCTTGCTAGTTCCTTATCGATTTCAAAGGCGCCATTAATTCTAAATGTAAAGATTAATGATAATAATAATAATGATAATAATAATAATAATAATAATAATAATAATAATAATGATAATAATAATAACAACATATGAAATGTTAGTCCTCAATCAAAATTTAAACGATTATCACGTCATTTTCAGGAGGTTTTTATCAGGATGAAATGGGGCAACTTAACTGTAAGAATTGCAGCACGGGCACTTACGTTCCAGAAAAGGATCATCCTGGAAGAAGCGCGGCCGACTGTCGTGCATGTCCGTACGGTAAGTGACCACTCTGAATACATAGACTAATAACCAAGACATTCAAACAAGTTGTCACCAAAAGATTCCGGTTAAGACAATTCAAGGCTCAATCGTGATTTGAAGTCGTGCTGTCTGGGTTTTTTAAGTAAATGTAACAAGTACGTGTATCACTCAGCTATGAACCTGCTAAGAGTTCCATCTTGGACAAAAAACTCGAGACAGTTTCCGCTTCCGCTAAGTACTTGCTCTCTTTCTCTAACTAAGCAGTATCCGTCTAGGATAATTTTTTAGCGTACATTTTTTTTAGCATACATGTATTAGCCTTTTACTTCAACATTTAATTCCGTGGGATATTGCTAGTCCGTTAAATGAAGAATTTTATTCTTAGAAACAGGAGGTATTCTCCCGTCTCGACGATTTTTTACCCACAATATAGGCCAATTTCGTGTTTTGTCTATTGCCACTGAAATTATCACTGAGGGGAATGAATGATAGCTCTAATAAAATTAAACCGACAGAAGCACGACGCGACAGATGCGCTTTTTGCGAATTACATTCTTTGTGATGTCGACAAACTGGGCACGCTAACTTGAATAGAGAACTCATCAATTATGTGTCTATGTGAGGAAATGCAGTTTGTATCGCCATTGCTAATGAAAATTCTTACACATTTAAAAACAGGTACCCGATCTAATGAGACAGCTGGTTATCGTGCATGCAGTTGTCTTCATAACTTTTACCGCTTGGATCGTTTTGGGCCTTGCACGGCTTGTCCAGATTACGGCCTTACCTGTACAAACGATACAGCAATATTGGCACCAGGCTATTTCTGGCAGTGGAGCAACAACACGACGATGAACAATTACACGAAATTCGTTGAAAATATTCACACATTTGGACCTGAATACAATAGCAATTGCTCAATATTTCATTGGTTATTGCCCAAGCCGCTGAAATGCCCCTATCCAGGGTCCTGCAACGGTGGAATTGGTTCAGTGTGTGAGGTCGGATACCAAGGTACCTTATGTGCAACTTGCTCTAACAATCACTACCTCCGATTTAACAGATGTCTGGAATGTCCAAGCATGATTGCTACAATCATTTCATGTGTTGTAGTGATCGTGGTCTTTGCTTTGGTGTTTGTGATGATTCTCTGGGGAGACTCCAGACGCGCAAGAGACGATGGTAGGCGCACTGTGGCAGATGTCATCATGTCCTGCTCCAAGATCGTGATTGGATTTTATCAAGTTGTTGTTGGCATTTTCTCGGCTTTGGCTGGGGTTTACTGGCCTGTAATTCTCATCTCCATGGAAAAATGGTTGAAGTTCGTTGAAGGAAACATTTTGCAGTTTGCACCACTGAGCTGCATTAATCCTTTTCTTCGACTGGACCCATTCATACAATTTACTTTCGCCATTGCTATTAACATCTTGGTCGTTTCTCTGATATTGCTCTATCTCTTCCTGAAAAAGCAACACATCAACAAGCTGGAGATTTCCATCTCCGAAAAACTTGAGAAAACCTCAGGCTTGAAGAAGTCGTGCTATCGAAATATTCTGTTATTTCTTCTTTTGTCATACCCAATCACAAGTAAGAAGATTATTGACATTCTGCCCTTACCAGGAGTTTGCGTGAACGTGTGCTTTAACAAAGATGGAGGTGAATGTATTTCTTTGTTGAAGGCTGATTACTCCATCCGTTGTTTTACCACTCGGCACGATATCTTCTGGCACATCGCAGCTGCCTTCGCCTTGTATCCTGCTGCCTTTCCGCTGTTGCTACTGTTTCCTATTTACAAGTACCGGAAGTGTGATCCTGACAAAGAAGAAATGGCTTTTGGTTTCAGAGTGTTTTTTGAAAATTATAAAGAGGGTTACTGGTTTTGGGAGGTCGTGGAGATGTACCGAAAGCTTTTGCTAATCTCATGTATCCTTCTGTTTGATTCCGACAGCCGTTCTCAAATTGGTTTCACCGTGATCGCAGCAAGTGTTTCTGGAATTACGTACACCATCTTTCGATCAATGAAAGGAAAATTTGAAGATCGACTCCAAACGTTTGCGCTTTGGATAATATTCTTTAATGTTTGTCTCGGTGCAATATATTCACAACCTGACGTCAGCAGGAATCACGGAGAAAACAACTCTATGTTTATCAACGTAGTGTTTGTTGTTCTCAATGGTGCCGTGTTAATATGGTCCGTAGGTAAGTCTTCCGTGCAGCACAAAAAAATTGAATAAAGTCAGATGAAGTTTAAATAAGTAAATTGAATTTGATAAAATAGGGTATAAGGGCATCGTTGTTTAGCTAAGAACTAAACTACTAGAAGGAGGGATGAGATAATGTGGTACAGGTGTATACAGTTATATTGCAAACCCTCTCTTCCTCCTGTGGTTACGGCTTAATGCGTGATTTCAGACCTTATTTTCGATAGCCGTTATTGGACGGAAAATAACTTAAAATCGGCAAAATTTCATCCGGTTAGTTATTTTTGTTTATTTATTTTTTTTATCTACTTATCTATTTATCTATTTATTTTTGATGCTCTGCTTTAAGTTATGAGGTACATTTCTAGATAGCAAACAGCTTACGTAGCACGAGTCAAGATATCGATTAACTATTGCAAAATCATCGTAAAAATAAAATTTGGTCCTCAAAAATGAATTGGCCGCAAATGTCCTCAATACTTAGACTAGCTGATTTTTTTGAGAACTGTGCTGGTTTTTTCCAAAGTTTGACCCCCGCAGACCCCATGTATCCTTTTTTTTCTACAGTGGAACCCCTTAATGATCCGGTCAACAATAGGTTACCGAAATCGGGCCCTGTTAACTTGGTTGCCGTATTAATGGGGCTCTTGAAAAACGAAAATCAGTGACTGAGCTTTTGCTTGCCCCAGAATTAGTTGGCCTTCATAACGAGGTGGCCGCATGAACGGGGTGGCCGCAAGCGCTAAGCCGCGGTTCCACTGTATTAGGGACAGTCGTCTTAAAACGTCTGTCATGAATTGAGGTACCAAATAAGGAGAAGCCTTAGCTGCGCAAAGGAGCATTAAGGGGAGGGTTAATTGACCCTCTTCATTGAAAACACCACACTCATTCATCTCGTCTCATTGGTTTGTCTCATCAGCAAAGGGATTGCTTTATCTGAGAGAAAATTGGAGAGCACTATCTTCCTGCCCAGTGCGATGTTTTCACCTAATCTGTCGCAGATGTCTTGAAGGCCGTCACAGAAGAAACAATTACCAGCGTATTTAAGAAACCTACAGACGAGGAACTCTGCTTTGAGGACTAGAGCTACAGTGTATGTGCAGAAGACTTGCCAGTGATGGCTATTTGAAATAATTCTTCATAAAATTGAAATGCAGGCGTTCGTTTTGTTTTGTTGTTGTGTTTTATTGTCAGGCTAGCTAAACGTTGCACCTAAAATAGGTTTATTGCTAATTAACTGCCAAAGTTTAGTGTACATGGTGAGGATTTAATTTTTCGCTGTTATTTTCGCGTTTTGGCTGAAAAACAATCAATGGTTTTGTAGAGAACATTATTCATATTTTTCTAGACTTTTTATGCTGGTTTTCCATTTTTCGTGCAAAAGACAGCACAAATTTTTTTAAAAAAAGAAACATTGTGCAATATATAGCAGTGATATCGTTCTTAGCAGCGGTTTAATTGACCCTATCCAGGGATGCCTATGAGGACATATCGTCTTTCTACCCCGCACAATGTTTAAGGAGACAGGTGTCCTACCTTTTTGAAAGCGAGAGTTATCTGAAACGTTTACCTCTCTACTCAGAGTGCTCGCTCAAAAGCTTTACTTTTTGTCACTTAAAACGTTTTACTATAGGCAGTGCTTGTAGCCCTTTTCTTGGGTCATGTCCACACTACGCCGGAAAAATTTCAATACGTCCACGATACACAAGCAGCAATCACCGGTCATTTTAGATTTGTGTTTGTGGAAAACTCGGTCAGAGAAATCACGTCATTATCGTGACGCCATCGTTTTCAAAAAGCTCCCTTTTCAAAATGTTTTCCGTCCAAACAAAAACGAAAAGCGGGTGTTTTCAAATTTCCTTGGTTTGTAGAGCGTTTTCGAAAAGCTCCGTTTTTGTGACGGATGAATGCGCACAGTAGGCCTAACCGTAGAAAAAAAAAGCTGCGTTTTCAAATCCCACCGGCGTAGTGTGGTACGCTGCCTCAGTTAGTCTTCGTATAAATTAAGGGTGTGTTCGTTACGTTTATCTCAGTGCGCATTAAATGCGGACAGTTTAATTATTTAAACTACTCTGCAGGTGTAAACTGTTACTGTTATATAACAGTGTTATTCAACTGTTATATTTATGAAACCTGTGAGACAAGTAGATTATCTATTCTTTAGGAAGTTGTGCTAATTTTAGCATTCTGTCAATTATAAAATCGTGCTTGTTAATTATAACATTTGGCTAATTGTTACAGTGTGCTAATTATAACATGGTTCTGCATGTACCCCATGGTCACCGTGAGAGATTTGCAGAATGCAGGCCCAGAGTTAACTTGCTATTTTGTGCTATTCCGGTTTTCTTTCTAAGAGAGTGCGCTCGACGCCTTTTCTTTAATACATATAACTTGAATAATTTCGTTAACCGACTTTCAAATCCTGTTTACTGCTAAAAAGCACATTTTAAAATCAACAACCGAAAATTTACGGACAGATATAACGTAATGACAAAGTCCAGTGTTTTCCTGTGCAATGTATGTATAGCAAGTAGAGAGCTTTTCTATAAAATACGATTTGTTAATATAGTCTGTGACTGAAAGTGAAGAATGATCATCGCAGTAAATTTTCCAATTTAAGCAACTGGAAAGAAGAAGCCTGAAAANTTGACCTTATTTTGGATAGCCGTTATTGGACGGAAAATATGTTAAAATCGGTAAAATTTCATCCGGTTAATTATTGTTATTTATTTATTTACCTATCTATTTCTCTATTTACTTTTAATGCTCTGCTTTAAGTTTTGAAGTACGTTTCTAGAAAGCAAACAGCTTACGTAGTAGGAGTCAAGATATTGATTAACTATTGGAAAATCATCGTAAAAATGAAATTTGGCCGCAAATTTCCTCAGTCTTTAGACTAGCCGATTTTTTGAGAACTGTGCGGTTCTTTCCAAAGTTTGCCCCCTGCAGACCCCATGTATCTTTTCTTTTTGTTCTACAGTGGAACCCCAATAATCCGGTCAACAATGGGTTTCCGAAATCGGGCCGTGTGAACTTGGTGGCCGTATTAATGGGGCTCTTCAAATACGAAAATCACTGCCTGAGCTTTTGCTCGCCCCAGAATTAGTTCGCCTGAATAACGAGGTGGCCGCATGAACCGGGTGGCCGCAAGCGCTAAGCCGCAGTTCCACTCTATCAGGGACAATCGTCTTATAACGTCTGCCATGAATTGAGGTACCAAATAAGGGGAAGCCTCAGCTGTGCAAAGGAGCATTAAAGGGAGGACTAATCGACCCTCTTCATTGAAAACGCGACACTCATTTTAATTCGTCTCATTTGTTTGTCTCATCAGCAAAGGGATTGCTTTATCTGAGAGAGAACTGGAGAGCACTATCTTCCTGTCCAGTGCGATGTTTTCACCTAATCTGTCGCAGATGTCTTGAAGGCCGTCACAAAAGAAACAGTTACCAGCTTATTTAAGAAACCAACAGACAAGGAACTCTGCTTTGAGGACTAGAGCTACAATGTATGTGTAGAGGACTTGCCAGTGATGGCTATTTGGTGTAATTCTTCATAAAATTGAAATGCAGGCGTTTGTTTTGTTTTGTTCCTGTGTTTTATTGTCAGGCTAGCTAAACGTTGCACCTAAAATAGGTTTATTGTTAATTAACTGCGCAAGTATAGTATGCATGGTGAGGATTTAATCTTTCGCTGTTATTTTCGTGTTTTGGCTAAAAAACATTCAAAGTGTTTGTAGAGAACAATATTCATATTTTTCTACAATTTTTATACTGTTTTTCCATTTTTCGTGCAAAAGACAGGACAATTAAAAAGAAAAAAAAAACATTGTGCAATATATAGCTGTGACATCGTTCTTAGCAACGGTTTGATTGACCGTATCCAGGGATGCCCACGAGGACATATCGTCTTTTTACCCCTGCACAATGTTTAAGGAGACAGGTGTCCTACCTTTTTGAAAGCGAGAGTTAGCTGAAACGTTTACCTCTCTACTCAGGGTGCTCGCTCAAAAGCTTCACTTTTTGTCACTTAAAACGTTTTACTTCAGGCAGTGCCTGTAACCCTTTTCTTGGGTCATGTCCACACTACGCCGGAAAAATTTCAATACGTCCACACTACACAAGTAGCAATCACCGGTAATTTTGGATTTGTGTTTGTGGAAAACTCGGTCAGAGAACTCACGCCATTATCGTGACGCTATCGTTTTGGAAAAGCTCCGTTTTCAAAATGTTTTCCGTCCAAACAAAACCGAAAAGCGGGTGTTTTCAAATTTCCTTGGTTTGTAGAGCGTTTTCGAAAAGCTCCGTTTTTGTGGCGGATGAATGTGGACAGTAGGCCTAACCTTAGCAAAAAAAAAAGCGTTTTCAAATCCCTCCGGCGTAGTGTGGTACACTGCCTCAGTTTTTGCATAAAGTAAGGGTGTGTTCGTTACGTTTATCTCAGTGCGCATTAAATGCGGAGAGTTTAATCATTTAAACTACTGTGCTGGTGTAAACTGTAACCTTTATATAACAGTGTTATTTCAGCTGTTATATTTATGAAACCTGAGAGACAAGTAGATTTTCTATTCTTTAGTAAGTTGTGCTAATTTTAACATTCTGTCAATTGTAAAATCGTGCTAATTACAACATTTGGCTTATTATAACAGTGTGCTAATTATAACATAGTACTGCACGTACCTCATGGTCAACGTGAGAGATTTGTAGAGTGCAGGTCCAGAGTTACCTTGCTATTTTGTGCCATTCTGGTTTTCTTTCTAGGAGAGTGCGCTCGACGCCTTTTCTTTAATACACATAACTTGTATAATTTCATTAGCCGACTTTCAACTCCTGTTTATTGCTAAAAAGCTCATTTTTAAATCAACAACCGAAAATTTACGGACAGATATAACATAATGACAAAGTCCAGTATTTTCCTGTGCAATTTATGTATAGCAAGTAGAGAGCTTCTCTATAAAATACGATTTGTTAATATAGTCTGTGACAGCTAACGCCAGTTTCCGTGGACTCACAAGTTTTAAAATAGAACTAAGCTGAGTATATTTGACATCAAACTTCATGCTTAACATTTTCACATTTACAAACAATTTTAAGGCTGATTTTTAAAAGCTAATTTGTAAAAGTATTGTTTTTGTTCAGTACGAATATTAGCGAAAATTTGCAATCGCGTGCTCGTTTATCGTAAACAAACTCTGTGCCACCGATTAGAATTCGCTGATGAATAAAAATAAACAGCATTTATCTTGCCGTTTCTTGGTTCATGTTTTCTCTTGCAGATCTTGGCCTCAGAGAACTTTTCCATCGATTCCAAACGATATTCGACCTTGGCTGGGTACAGACCGAACTATTTGTCGCAATTGGAACTAATCAACAAATGTAATCAAAAACGGCCAAGGAAATATCCTGTTGCCACAGTTAGCGTCCCAAAGTGAAGGTGATTCAAAGTCGTGTTCGTGAACAGAGAAAATAATTATCTCAGTTGAGGACACCCTCTATTAAGCGGACAGTTGCACAAGTCTCATTTGTCCCTGACATTAATTTTACTATGTATAAAAACAAGTTCTGTAAAAAACAAATATAAATCGCTGCATTTCTATGGCAAACCTAGATAACCGCGGACCAAAAAGAAAAAAACCATCCAACAGGTTTTGTGTTCAACGAACAACTTAACCTTCACTTTAAAAAAACTTTTAAAAACCTATATTTGACGGACACTGCTAAAAGGATTTTTTGATTTTTTTTCTCCACGTAAATTAAAGTTTGCCGACAAAGTGTTGTCACAGAAATGCGGCGATTTATCATTAGATTTTGTGTTTACAGAACTTTTATTCTTGTTTGATTGTGTAAACCTTCACAATTGGGTGGGGATGTGTTGCCCGCTGAATATGATACTGACCATATTCAGTAACTGTGACAGAACGTCCACTCGAATTTTATGGTACAGTAACAAAATTTTGGTTCCTCTGCTGCTACTTTTGTGAAATAAGGTTCATTTAAACGTTTCTGCAATGGTTGTTACCATTTGTTTTGACGATTCTTTATTTTGCCTCT